CAAAATGGATGTCAGAAGAGACACTGAAACTTGCTCTCCAAGCATAGAGATGCTAAAGCAAATGAAAGAAATGAGGCGGTACAACAGCTGAACAGAAAATTTCAAAGATCAGCTTGAGAAAATAAAGCCAAATATTACAACAAAATGTACAAAGTTCTGGAGTCAGAACACACTCAGCATTTCTGAAGCTGGGGGGACTGAAGAAAAAAATTCAAGCCTCAACTTTCATTATTAAAGGATTCTCTGGGCAAATTACTGAATGATGCAGAAAGCATCAAAAGAAGATGGCAGGAATACGCAGAGTCACTGTACCAAAAGGAAATAGTTGATGTTCAACCTTTTCAAGAGGTAGCATATGATCCAGAGCCAATGATACTGAAGAAGGAAGTCCAAGGTGCATTGAAGGAATTGGCAAAGAACAAGGCACCAGGAATTGATGGAATAAAAATTGTTATCTTTCAAGAAACTGAGGCAGCACAGGAGGCACTCACTCATCTCTGCCACAAAATTTGAAAGAGAACTATCTGGCTGACTGATTGGAAGAGATCCATATTTGTGTCCATTCCAAAGAGAGATGACCCAATGGAATATGGTTTTATTAAAGGTATTACAGAAACGGCTGCAAGCATACATTGACAGAGAACATCCGGAGGTTCAAGCGGGATTCAGAAATGGCCATGGAATGTGGGGTACCATTGCTGATGTCCAATGGGGGAAAAAAAAAAAAAGAGTGCATTGAAGGCATTGGCAAAGAACAAGGCTCCAGGATTTGATAGAATACAAATTGAAATCTTTCAACAAACTGATGTGGTACTAGAAGCACTAGTTCAAGAAATTTGGAGGACAGCTACCTGGCCAACTGACTGGAAGAGATCCATATTTGTAACCATCCAAAGAGTGGTGACCCAGCAGAATTCGGCAATCATGACAATATCATTAATATTGCATGCAAGTAAAATTTTAATAAGGATAATGCAAAAGCAGCTGAAACGATACAATGACAGAGAACAGCAGAGATTCAAGCTGGATTCAAATGAGGATGTGGGATGAGGCATAGCATGCTGATGTCAGAGGGATCTTGGCAGAAAGCAGAGAATACCAGAAAGATAGTTACCTGTTCTTTACTTACTACGCAGAGACTTTCGATTGTGTGGATCATGGTAAGCTATGGACAGCATTTCAGAAAATGAATATTCCAGAACGCTTAATTATGCTCACGAGGAATCTGTCTGTATACAGACCAAGAGGCAGTTTGTACAGAACAAGGGAACACTGAATGGTTTAAGATTAGGAAAGGTTTGCACCTTCTTTCACCACACTTATTCAATCTGTATGCTGAGCAAATAATCTGAGAAGCTGGATTATATGAAAAAGAATGTGGCATCAGGATTGGAGGAAAATTCATGAACAACCTTCGATGTGCAGATGAGACAACCTTGCTTACTAAAAGCAGAGGACTTAAATATTGACTGATGAAGATCAAAGACCATAGCCTTCTGTATGGGTTATATCTCAAAGTAAAGAAAGTAAAAATGCTCACCACTGGACCAATAAATAACATCAAGATAAATGGAGAAAAGATTGATGTCAAAGGTTCTACTTTCCTTGGATCAACAATCAACACTACAAGGGACAGGAGTGAAATCAAACGATGTATCACATTAGGTAAATTTACTGCACAAGACCTCTCTGAAGTATTCAAGAGCAAAGATGTCAGTTTGAAAACTAAGGTGCACCTGACTCAAACCATGATATTTTCAGTAACCTCATATGCATGTGAAAGTTGGACAGTAAATAAGAAAGACCATAGAAGCACTGATGCATTTGAGCTGTGGTGTTGGAGGAGAATATTAAAAGTACACAGATGACCAGAACAATAAACAAATCTGTGCTGGAAGAAATTCAGTCAGAATCCTCTTAGAAGCCAGAATGGCCACACTTTGTCTCTCATATTTTGGATATATTATCAGGAGGGACCAATCCCTGGAGAAGGTTAAGTGGTAAAGTAGATGATCAGAGAAAATGAGGTAGACCCCTAATGAGATGGATTGGCGAAGTGGCAGAAGAAATGGGCTCAAGTGTAGCAATGAGTGTGAACTTGGCACAGAACCAGAAACTGTTATGCATGGGGTTGCTGTGATTCAGTGCCGACTTGATGGTTCCTAGCAACAATACAATAAAACATATTTACTATAAATTCTAATTCTTACTGACCTGCCTAATTTCACTAGTCCTTTTGCTAATCCTTAAAAGTAATACAATGGGCTCCAAGACATCCTAAAATTCAAACTTTTCATTATAACTCGAGTTTTCCCAAATTGACTAGTGAACTTTACAATATATGACCTTACCAAAATGCTGTTTGTTAAACAATGCTTGTCACACTTCACACTAGCTCAGAATGATAACTAAAAAGAAACAAAAGTCCTGTGCATTTATGGGGAGTCTTGGTGTGGCACTGTGGGTTAAGGCACTGGACTGCAAAATTGGTTTGATCTGCAAGGTTGGTAGTTCAAGCCACCAGCCGCTCCTCGGAAACTCTATACAGGGTCGCAATGGGTCAGAACCGACTTGTCACTTAACAATAACAACAATTTACGAAGGACCCAAGAAAGTACACACGGTGTGAGTATATATATGTTTCTAACAATAAAAAGTCTTGAATAAAAAGCAATTCCTATTATTAACAAGCAAAGGCAGCAAGTTACTGATTATCCAAATTTTTACACTGTCTTTGAAATGTCATATTGGTATAATATGCATTGGTACCATCATTTAATGAGATTTCCCCCTTTACCTTTTAGGTATTAAAAACCCCAAGTATGAGGGCTTCCAAAAATCTGTGGAAAAAATTTTGTCATCTTTTAATTCTGTTTTTCCATGGACATATACTTCTATAGTGTATAGATTCTGTCAACTACATATTAGGATATTAAACTATAAAAATTAAGCTATAACCAAGTATTTTAAGAACAATTCTTTTTCAATTAATAAATCTATGTATCATGAAATAAAAATAAGTCATTTAACTAAACATTTTTTTCTTACCTAATATACCTTATAGTAACTATATGCTTAACATGTATCAAGTGTCATACGTATAAAGAGGGAAAACAACAATCACCCTGGCAATACTCACATAATAAAAAAGGATTAAGAAAGCTTGACAACAGTTCATGGTATAAAACAGAAATCCCTCAAAGTTCTATATTGTTTTTGATGTTTTAAGTACCACTGAGTCAGTTTTGACTCATAGCGATCCAGTATAGGGTTTCCAAGGAGCTGGTGAGTTTGAACTACCTACATTGTAGTTCCAAAATGACCATGCGGTCCTGCACTTATCTTACAGCTCCACACCAGGACTTCTATGTAGACTTCATTATTGAAGCAGCAGCCAAGAAATCAAATGACATATTGCATTATGCAAATCTGCTGCATAAGACCTTTTTAAAGTGTTGAAGAGCAAAGATGTCACCTTGCAGACTAAGGTGCATCTGACCCACGCCATGGTATTTTCAATAACGTCATATGCATGTGAAAACTGAACAGTGAATAAGGAAGACCGTAAAAGAATTGATGCTTTTGAGTTATGGTGCTGGAGAAGAATACTGAAAGTGCCACGGGCTGCCAAAAGAACCAACAGATCTGTGTTGGAAGAATGCAGCCAGAGTGCTCCTTGGAGGACAGGATGTCCAGACTTCGTCTCTTATACTTCGGACATATTGTCAAGAGGGACCAGTCGCTGGAGAAGGATATCATGTTTGGTAAGGTGTGGAGGGTCAGAGGAAAAGAGGAAGACCTTCAACGAGATGGATTGGCCAAGTGGCAGCATAGATGGATTCAAGTGTGGCAACAATAGTGAAGTTGGCCCAGGATCAGGCAGTGTTTCGTTCTGCTGTGCATAATAGGGTGGCTATAAGTCGGCACCGACTTGATGGCACCTAACAACAACAACCATACTTTAGGCAGGTGCTGATTACATATTTTCTTTAAACTGGGGAAAGCTAAGCATGTGGAATATATTTTACTCAGAAAAAAAAGTCTAATCAATAACAAAATTCAAAGAAAGTGAAAATTATACACACAGCATGCCAGCCTACTTTTTTCTGGAAACACTATTTATAATTGAGGGATGATTATTAAAAATATTTGCTAGTTTGGTTGTAAATGATCATTTTATTATAAATAAGACTTTTACTTTATAAACTGAAGGTTATAAAATTAGAACACACAATCAAGATTAATGCTGGAAAGAAGTATAAAAAACTAACCTCTAATTCTTTTTATCAATTAGGTAATAACTAGGTACTGATAAAAAAAAAATCTCATTTTCATGATCTGCTTTTCAAATTGATGATTAAATGTGACATACTATTGTCGAGTTTCATTTTTTTGATAAACATACAGATGTTAAAAAACAATATAATAGAAGGTTTAAGTTAAGTTACAGAAAGCAATTTCTAGTCATATCTGGGATATATGTAAATAAGTTTTCATTTCCTTTACAATACAAACTAACCTTGGTATTTCACCTTCTTCCCAACGAAACAGAGAACCAGAAAGGGAGCTTCCTGGTAAAGGATCCTTGCAAGATCCAGTTGCATGTATTGTGTCACCTGGAAATAGAAAGGTAAAAAAGGAAATACATTTTATTTTTAGTTAAATATTACCCATTAAATATGAAAATATCAACCTCTTCTCTATCAGTTTGTTATACTGTGGTGGCTTGCATATTGTGATGCTGGAAGTTTTGACACCAGTATTTCAAATACCAGCAGGGTTACCCATGGTGGAAGGTTTCAGTGGAGTTTCCAGACTAGGAAAGAGTAGGAAAAGGACCTAGTGGTATATTTCTAAATGACATCAATGGCGTAAAACTTTCAGGATATTCATTTTCTGATGTGGCATGATACAAAATGAGAAGAAACAGCTACAAACATATATTAATAGTCAGAATGTGAAATGTATGAAGTATGAATATAGGAAAACTGGAAGTCATCAAAAATGAAATGGAACTGTAATAATTGATATCCTAGGCATTAGTGAGCTGAAGCAAGACTGGTAGTGGCCATTTTGAATCAGATAATCAAACGGTCTACACACAAAGCTGGGAATGACAAATTGTACAGGAATGGTGTCACAATGATCAGCAATAAGATTTCATGATTTATGGTAAAGTACAGCATAGCCAGTGATAGGATAATATTCATACACCTATAAAGAAAACCAGAGAGTCCTGGTGTGGGGCCGTGGGATAAGGCACCAGACCACAAGGTCAGCCTGAACCACAAGGTCGATGGTTCAAACTCACCAGCCACTTCTCAGAAACCCTATGCAAGATTGCTCTGAGTTGGAACTGACTTGAAGGCACTTAACAACAACAAGAAGAAACAAAACCAGTTAATATGATTATTACACAAATTTATGGCCCAACCACCAAAGTCAAAGATGAAGAAATTGAAGATTTTTTAATAACTTCTGTGATCTAAAATTGATCAAACACATCTGCATCAGCAATAACTGGTGAATGGAATGCAAACACTGGAAACAAAAGGATTTGCATTTGGAAAATATGTCCTTGCACAGAGAAATGATGGTAGAGACCTCATGATAGAATTTTCAAGACAAATGATAAAGTCATTGAAAATACCGTCTTTCAATATCATAAAAGGTGATCATACAAGTGGACCTTACTTGATGGAATACACAGGAATCAAATTGACTAAATCTGTAGAAAGAGATGATGGAGAAGCTCAAATTCATCAGCTAAGGGCTGACTGGACCAGATCATCAATTGTTTACATGCAAGTTTAAGCAGAAACTGAAGAAAATTAAAACAAGCCCACAAGAGCCAAAGTATAACCTAGACCTGTTGTCAGGTGTCCTTTAGTCAGTTCCAACTCATAGCGACACTACATAGAGTTTCTGAAGCTGTAAATCTCCATGGACTCAGAAAGTCTCATCTTTCTCCTGCAACACTGACTATATCCCATCTGAATTTAGAGAGTATCTCAAGGATTGACTGTTGTTGTTGTTGCTGAGTGCTGTCAATCCAGTTCTGACTCATAGCAACCCTGTGTAAAGGGTTTCTGATGAGCAGCTGGTGAGTTTAAACTGCCAACCATGTAGTTCAAACCGATCTTGCGGTCCAACACATTATTCTGCAGCACTACACAAAATTGATTAAACATATTAAATACTAAAGACTAAAGACCAGACAAGTTATGCTATGACATCTCACATGAAGAAAGGAAAAGTTCATTTTGAAAGACACAAAAAAAAGAGAAGACCAAAATTCATGTCAAAAGAGATTCTGAAACTTATTCTAGAATGTGGAGTGGTGGCTGGTGGTTGTGTGCTGTCAAGCGGATTCCAACTCTTAGTGACCCTGTATTGGGGTTTCTGAGGCTGTAAATTTTATGGGAATAAAAAAGCCTTGTCTTTGTTTCTTCCTTGGAGTGCCTGGTAGATTCAAACTGCTGCCCATGAAGTTAGCAACCCAATGTGGGACTCACTACGCTACCAATAAATGGAAGAAATGATAAAATAAAGGAGATGAACAGAAGAACTCAAATGAGGCTTAAAAAGACAAAAGTAAAATATTATAATGAAATTTGCAATGACTTAGAGTTAAAAAAGTGGGGGGAGAACATACTTGGCATTTCCCAGCTTAAGAACTGAAGAAAAAACCTCATTTCAGATTGTAATACTGAAGCACTCTATGGGCAAATTATTGGAAATACTGTAAGGAGAGAGAGAAAACACAAAGTCACTATACTGAAAAGAATTGGTCATCACTTGGCTATTATGGTGCTGGTTATGTGCCGTGGAGTTGGTTCTTACCCATAGTGACCCTGGTACAGGGTTTCCAAGGCTGTAAATCTTTACGGGATCAGAAAGCCTCATCTTTCTCCCATGGAACAGCTGGTAGTTTCAAACTGCTGACCTTAAGGTTCGCAGACTGATTTGTATCCACTATGCTCCCAGAGCTACTTAATGATCAAGAACTGGTGTTACTGAAGGAAGAAGTCTAAGCTGCACTGAAGTCACTGGCAAAAAATAAGTCCCCAGGAATTGACAAAATACTACCAACTGAGATGTTTCTACAAATGCCTGTAACTCATCTATGCCAAAAAATCTGGAAGACAACTACCTGGCCAGAAGAGATCAATATTTGTTCCTACTCCAAAAAAAGGTGAACCAACATAACGCAGAAATTGCTGAGCGGTATCATTAATATTGCTTGCAAGTAAAGTTTTGCTGACATAATTAAAAGAATAGTTACATCAACAAAGTAAAGTCAGAAATTCTAGCTGAATTCAGAAGAAGACATGGAATAATGGATATCACTGCTGATGTTAGATGGATCCTGGCTGAAAGCAGAGAAGACCAAAAAGATGTTTACTTGTGTTTTACTAACTATGCAAAGGCTTTCAATTGTGTGGATCATAACAAACTATGGACAGCACTGCAAAAAATGGGTATTCCAGAACACTTAATTGTGCTCATGTAAAACCAAGAGGCAGTCATTTGATCAGAACTAGGGGATATTGTTTAAAATCAAGAAAGGTGTGCATTAGAAATGTATCTTTTTGCCATACTTATTCAATCTGTATGCTGAGCAAATAATCCTAGAAGCTGGTCTATATAAAGAACATGGAATCAGGATTGTAGAAAGACTCATTAACAATCTGTGATATACAGATGACAAATTCTTGCTAACTAAAAGTGAAGAGGACTCAAACCACTTGCTGCTGAATATCAAAGACTATGCCTTCAGTGTTACACATAAAGAAAATAAAAATTCTCACAATTGTACTTACATAACTATCAACACTCGCGGAAGCAGCAGTCAAGAGATCAGATGACGTATTGCATTGGGCAAATCTGCACAAGAACTTTTTAAAGTATTGAAGAGCAGAGATGTCAGCTTGAGGACTAGGGTGCGCCTGACCCAGGCCATGGTGTTTTCAATAGCCTCATATGGATGCAAAAGCAGGACAGTGAATAAGGAAGATCGTAGAAGAATGGATGCCTTTGAGTTGTGGTGTTGGAGGAGAATACTGAAAATGCCATGGACTGCCAAAAGAACCAATAGATCTGTTTTGGAAGAAGTGCAGCCAGAGTGCTCCTTGGAGGCCAGGATGGCTAAGCTTCGTCTCTCATACTTTGGACATATTGTCTGGAGGAAACAGTTGCTGGAGAAGGATGTCATGCTGGGTAAGGTGGAGGGTCAGAGAAAAAGAGGAAGACCCCTAACGAGATGGATTGGCCAGGTAGCATCATTGATGGACTCAAGTGTGGCAGTGGTGGTGGGATTGGCTCAGGATCAGACATTGTTTCGTTCTGCTGTGCATGGGGTCGCTATGAGTCGGTTCCGACTCGATGGCACCTGACAACAACAATGATATACAGAGAAAGGACTGAAGTTGTCAAGGATTTCATTTTAATTGGATCCACAATCAAAAGCTATGGAAGCAGCCATCAAGTAATCAAACAACATAGTGCAATGGGCAAATGTGCTGCAAAAGACCCTTTTTAAAGTACTAAAATTCAAAGATGTCATGTCGAGCACTAATGTGTACTTGACCCAAGCCATGGTATTTCCAATTTACTTACAGGCATGCAAAATCTCAGCAATGAATAAGACTGAAGAAGAATTGATGCCTTTAAATTGTGAACAATATTAAACATTCCAAGGACTGCCAGAAGAATAAAGAGTCCTGGTGGCACTGTGTATTAAGCATTGGGCTGTTAATCACAAGGTTGGCAGTTCAAACCTACCAGTCACTCCAATGGAGAAAGATGAGGCTGTCTACTCCTAAAAAGACTGGCAGTCTCAAAAATCCTATATAGGGTCGCCATGAGTGGGAATTGCCTTGATGACATTTTTGTTTTTTTTTTCCTTGGGGGTGGGTGGGGCAGAGCGTGCCAAAACAATGAACAAATCTGTTTTGGAAGAAGTACAGCCAGACTTCCCTTTAGAAGTGAGCAGCATGTACTTTTGAATATGTTATCAGGCGGGAAGAAGGTTAAACAGTGAACAGTCATTTCTGTTCTACTTTTTTTTATGCCTTTTCTCTTCCTTTCCTTGTTAGTCTCTTTCTCCATGAAGGAAAATGGAGCTAAGCCTACTTCACCTACTTCATCACTGATTAGATGACTTTCCTCCCTGGTGATCCCAAGCACCAAGTGACAGCTATTCATTCAGATAGAACAGTTTATATAACAGGACATCTACTAAGCCACACAACTTAGTTTATCTTGGGAATTTTACGTTAGTCTAAGGTCTTAAGAGGATGAGGAAAACTGTCAATTAGTAAACTTTAAGGTTTATGTAAACCTGAGATTATTATTATCCAGTACAATTAATTAATCAACCAATGGTTTATTCTGACTCCATGCTACATGCTAGTCTCAATACATAGATCTTTTATATTTAGAGTAAAAGTACAATATCATAAGCACATCACAAGACAATTTCTTTTTACAAGAGGTATTACTATATGTAAGTCATTCCTATGGATAGACTTTACTATGTTAAAGAAAAGACAAATATAAGTATTAGTCAACTAAGAATGCACATTAGAGGATTTCAAATAGCAACATTGTTTGATAAAGATTCTGAACTACAGTTTTTCAATCTGTACCTCATTATTCCAATACTGAATTCTTTATAGGTCTTGGATACATGTTTGGCTAGTTTTGCTCATGGAGACTAGTTTTCCTGTGTAACTACTTTATTCTGTATTGTATGCTGTAAATATTACATTTGAACCTTTACTTGTATAAATAATTTGAGACCTATAATAGACTTATATAACTTCTAAAAAGGATTTACATTTGCTTCTGCAGAAACTCTATACAGGGTTGCTATGAGTTGGAAGCCACGTGACAACACTTAATAAAACCACTCCAACACCTCAGATGAAATCTAGATTTGAGAATCTCTGTTAGTACCAGGGAATTCACCCTGGGCTAAAACACCTCTGAAGTTGTCCTTTCTCCGTATGTTTTCAAGTTAAGGGAAACCCTGAGTAATGGTCTCAGATGCCTGGCAGGCCCTGGGTCTTGCTTGCTGTTTCTCTTACCTCTTAAGGCTGTCTCAAGGAAGGTGGTAAATTTTCCATGATTAGCAAACACCATCAGATTAAAGGTTTCTTTAAAGATTTTATTCCCTTTTTTGGTCAGTATTTCTATATTATCACTTAACTTCTTTGATGTATTTATGATCCCTCCTCACCACACACAGTTTCCTAAGGTTTAATTTTTTTTTCAGTAATGGGGCTTGTCATAATAACTTAGCTAACATTTCAGAGAAACAAAGAGTCTTCCCTGATGACTTCTGAGAACACAATTTGGATAAAAGAGATAGGGGGAGGGTTGCTGTTGTTAAGTGCCTTCGAGTTGGTTCTAACTCAAAATGATCCTGTGTAGTGTTTCCCGAGGCTTTAAATTTCTATGGCAGTAGAAAGCTTCACCTGTCTCCCAAGTAACAACTGGTGGATTTGAACTGCCAACACTGCTGTTAACTGTCCAATGTGTAACTCATTACACTACTAAGGAACGATTAAGGTAACTAAGACTAGAATTTCCAACTATGGTACTATTTATTATGTACTGATAAAGGTGTGCTGAGACAGCAATTCCTCTCAGCCCTGGGGATAGCTAAACTCACCTCACAACCCACAGGTACCTCTGTCAATATGCAACCTATCTATTTACTCCAGGATGACTTGTAATTATTATACACTTTTTAAAATTATAATTAAAAAAAATCCATTCCTGCTAATCATCTTATTAAAGTAAGAGTGAAAACAAAACTCAATGGCCAGCAAGTCAGTTCTAACTCACAATTATACTACATAGAATTTTCAAGCCTATAAACTTTTACAGGAGCAGACAGGCTCATCTTTCTCCCACAGAGTGACTCCTGACTTGAAATTATCAACCTTGTAGTTAGCAGCCCAATGCCTAACCTACAACGTCACCAGGACTCCTTAAAGTGAATGTTGTTGTTGTTACTGTTATGTGCCATGGAGCTGGTTCCAACTCATAGCGACCCTGTACAGAGTTTTCGAGGCTGTAAATCTTTACGGGAGCAGAAAGCCTTATCTTTCTCCTGTGGAAGAGCTGGTAGTTTCGAACTGATGACCCTGAGGTTAGCAGCCCAATTCATAACCACTACGTTACCAGAGGGTAGAGAAATGAAAACATTGCAGGTGGAGTTCAAAATAGTCTTGGAAAACTTCTCCAGGAGGATAACTCTAAAAACTTCTCAAAAGATAAATTTAAAAGACTGACTATTTAAAAACGAGGATTGTCTATTCGTAAAATATTTAAGTGCCCACTTTGTATTAAATACTATTCTGTGTCCTAGGTGTACTGCAGATAAATACAACATTCAAGAACTGCTCTCTTTAAGTTTATACACCAGTGGAAGAGACTCAAAAGAAATTAACAAAAATATCAGTGAATGAGTGGTAAGTGCTTTGAGGGGAATCAGAGTAGATGGACAGTGATAGGTCAACTATTTAGACTTGGTGTTCAAGGAAGAACTTTCTGAGTGTTGTTGTTAAGTGGCGTTGAGTTAGTTGCGACTCACAGCAACCCTGTACAGCATTTCCGAGGAATGGCTGGTAAGCTTGAACCACTGACCTTGCAGTTCAAACTGTGCTTGAAGTCCAGCGCATTAACCTGCAGTGCATTCACCATCAGGACTCCACTATTTAGACTTGGTATTCAAGGAAAAACTTTCTGACTAGGTGCCTTTAAATTGAGATTTGAGTGACAAAAAATAAATAAATAAATAGCTAGATACTGGTAGAAAAGGGAGAACACTATTCCAAGAAGAAGAGCCCTAATGCAAGAGTCTGAGCAGGCCAGGTATGGTATAAGTACAAAAAGAAAACCAGTGAGGTCAGAAAGTAATTGGGCTAGCAGCAATCACTTAAACAAACAACAAAACATGACAGTGATGGAGGTAGGTGTCAGATCAGATGGCGCTTTGTAAATGAAGAAAAAGATTGGCGTTTACTCTAACATGAATTTATAAAGAAGTTTTAGCAACTAATTGTGCCTCTTGTGTCTACTTTGCAAACACTGCTTGCCATGATTGTGGTGATGATAATACTTTACCAGGAAGAAATGGCAAACAGATTAAAAAAAAAAAAAAGAAAGTAAGAAAGAAAGAAAGAAAAGTACCTATTTTAAAGTTTGTTGGTATAATTAGGCTTTTTAAAATAGTTACATGAGGTCAAGTATCAATTTTATCCCCTTTGTATACAGGGTTGACGTAGGGATGGGCAACTTAGACTTGGCTACCTAAAATGGGGGGATTAGGGGGGGACTATAAAGGCACGCAGTGACTGTCTTACACGTTTTCAACAGGGAGTTTAGTTTCAGAGTGTGCAGGGGAAGACAGAATCCTCACTGAATAGTTTTCATCTTTTCTAGATGGTTCTTATAAAAAGAGATGGGGATAAGATTCTTATGATTCAATAGTAATTGTTATCATGACAAATTGTGACGGTCACAACTATAAATTTAGAAGTTCTGTAATGAAAAGGGGGGAGTAGTTAATCTTACAGTCCAGGAACAGAGGATCATCAAGGGAAAAGAGTACAAGCGGAATGTGGGATCCTATCCAGAGAAACAACACCACCAGAGATGTAGGCAGAGATGATGACGTGGAGAAAGGGAGCAGCTGAGGACTCCAGACACATGGAGCAGGAGGAAAGCTTCCAGAATGTGCCCTTTGGTTGTTTAAATGATTATATATTCCTGAGTGTTTTTGTGTATACCGCCCCCCACCCCTCCAAAAAAATACCCCACAGGGAATAGAAACAAATACTGTTGAACGATGATGCATGGAGGAGACTGTAATCATTGCAATGAAATGATGAGTGTAAAACCAATGTTTTCCCATGTAAATTATCACTCAATTCACAATTTAAAAAAAGTTACACAAGGTAATACAGGCCAAAACAAATGGGAAGAGAACAAATATTTAAAGAACTGCTTACTATCTGTCAGGTACTTTATACATATATCTTATCTCATATAATCCATAAGACATTACTGTGAGAGAGGCCAACATTTCATCTATATTTAATAGTACAGTCACATGAGGATCAAGATGAGCACCTAGACTGCTAAACTCCATCCTATGACATTCCCACTACTGAGGGGCCTTCCTCCCCATGTCCCACCAGATGTATCTACTAACTCTAAGAAAACCCACTTTAAAAATTTCAGATAGTGGCAAATATGTACAAATTAAACAACAGACTCCTTTTTAAGTAATCAGTGGGTTAAAGAGGAAATTTGAAAATATTCTGAATAAAAATGACATAATATATATAACTTACGGGATGCAGCAAAAGTAATGCTTTAAGATAAATTTATACTTATGTCTATATTAAAAAAAAGTACTTAAATATGCTACAATATGGATGGACTTTAAAAAATTAAACTGAATGAAAGAAGTCAGTGACAGTAAACCACACATCATATGACTAATTTATATGAAATGTCCCAAATAGGCAAATGTATCAAGACAGAAAGTAGATGACTGATTTCTAAGTGGTGGAGATTTCTAAGAAAAAGGGGAGCGTAAGGAGTGATAGTTAAAGGGTACAAGATTCTCTCTGAGGTGAAGAAAATGTCCTAAAATTGATTGTGATGATGTTTTCACAATTCTGAATATGTTAAAAATCACTGAATCATAGACTTTAAATGGGTGAATTGTATGGTCTCTGAATTATGTTTCAATAGCTATTATATTATTTTACATCTTTTTATCCATTCAACAATTATTTTACAAATATATTTTATTTTTTAATCATCAATTATATAACACTTGTGTCAAAGTTTTCATTTGAATTTGTGAAATTAACCTTACTTTTCCTTCTTGCTTTTCGGAACTTGACAGCAGCCAGGTTTATTAAGTTCATTCCATACAGATTGTAGTCAATGAAGAGCTGGAGGAGGTAGGGAATATGCGCTTCATGAGGCTGGTAAAATTTATTCATTATGGCTCCACTTTGCAAAAGCTCACATATCCTAAATTAAAAAAAAAAAAAAAATTATCAGAACGTTATTCCCAAAAATGTTAAGTAAACCAATTATTATGCAACTAGTGTAGTGGTTATGAATCAGGCTGCAAACTGCAAGGTCAGCAGTTTGAAACTACCAGCTGGTCCACGGAAGAAAGATGAGGCATTCTGCTCCCGTAAAGATTTACAGACTCGGAAACCCTGTTCAGGATCGCTATGGGTTGGAACCGACTCGAATGGCACTTAACAAGAACAACAACAACAGAATAAATACAACATATTAAAACACAGAATTTTCATTTTCAATTTTTATTGGAAATCTGAATATCTTAGAAAGCAAAAGTTTAAATCCAGTTTTAAAGTAAGTAGTATGCTCTAAAAGAAAATGACAAAAAATAAAAAATAAAGCAAAACAAAAACTCCCTACATAAAATATATTTTGACTTCTAAAACCAACTTACTACTGTCCTGATGTGGCGATGTAGGATAAGCACTGGGCTGCTAACTGCAAGGGTGGCTGTTTAAACCCACCAGCAACTCCTCAGAAACCTTCTACAGGTTCGCACTTAAGAACAACGTTAAAAAGTCAAAAGGATTTTAATATATGAGCTTCTCCTTTAAAAAAAGCAAAAAGGAAATGAGATTCATAATCTCACCACTTAGAGGTATAATCACTTTAGTGTTTTGTTTTGTTTTGTTTTTCTTTTCTTTTCTGAGTTTTTTTCCTCCATGATGTGAAACACAAAACATGGGCAATAATAAGTATAATACAGGGGATGTATAAGAAGCATCAAAAAGGCACACATAGTCAAGGTATCCCTATTTAAACAAGGCTATCTTCCATGTGGGGAGTCCTGGTGTCAATGCACCAGACTGCAAAGCCCTTTGAACTGTAAGGTCGGCAGTTTAAGCTCACCAGCTGCTCCTCAGAAGCCCTATAGAGGGTCGCTATGGGTCAGAACCGACTCGACGGCACTTCACAACAACAATCTTCCATGTGGAGTCCTGGTATGGTGCTGTAGGATAAGCATGGACTGCTAACTGCAAACTCAACAGTTCAAAACCACCAGCCGCTCCTCAGAAACTCTATAAAGGGTTGCTTTGAAGTAGAAACCAACTCTATGGCACTTATAACAAAAAGAATCAGAGGTGCAGAGGTGGTTTCTGAGAGTCCTTATGGATGAAAATCTCTAAGCTAGAGATGAACTGGAGGCACTTTTTATCTAAGGGAAGAAAAAATATTTCATGCAAACAAAATTGCACATGAAAAAGATCACAAAAAAAGAGCGTGTATTCTGCACCTGAAGCCACTGAGTAATGCTATACCCTAGAGTGGTACGACAGGCACTAAACTGCTAACCACAAGGTCAGCAGTTTAAACCACCAGCCACTCCACAGAAAAAAGGTGAGGCTTTTGTGCCCATGAAGATTTACTGCCTCGGAATCCCTCCATAGAATCGCTATGAGATAGAAATGACTTGTGTTAGTAGGTTAGTGTCAGAGGTTGCCTTGAGAGGTGGGAAAACAGAGGTAGTGAGGACACTCAACAACACAGAGTCACTAATTTGAAATAGGTAGTAGAATTTATTTGAGAAGTGAACAGAAGAAAGTGAAATGACCAGAGCAACTACAGAATGTGTAAGACTACAGACAGGCAGTAAGGAGGCTCTTGTAGAACAACTAAGATAATGGTGGCTGAAATCGGGATCATAGAAATGAACAGACTCAGAAGATAAACAGGAAATAAAATGGTCAGGATTTGATGGAGGGTGAGGTAGGAGTTGAGGATGATGCCTTAATGTTTGGCTTAAGCAATTGGTTGATGATACTGTCTTTTACTGAAATAAAATACTGAAAAACTTGTTTTTCATTTTTTGATGCTGAAGAAGAACAAGAATACCCTAAAGAAGCCCTAGAGACACAACAGTTAAATGATCAGCTGTTAACTGAAAAGCCAGAGGTTCAAACCCACCAGCTGCTCTGGGGTCAAAGCTGTGGCAAGTCTGCTTCCGTAAAGATACACAGCCTTGGAAACCCAGTGACGCAGTTCTAATCTGCCCTTCTGGGTTGCTACGTGTTAGAATCAACTCAACAGCACACACAACAAAAAGAAAGGAAAATTTAGTTTTAAAACATACAGGATTTAGATATAAAAGGAATTTCATGTAGATTTCTATGATAATATTAAAAATTAATGAAGATGAGGATAAGAATAATTTTATTAAGAGAGCAGTAGCTAACATGTTTTTGAGCAAGATGTACTACATATGGTGCTAAGTGCTATAAATGCTTTATTTCAGTCCTCAACATGAGTACTTTTTATAAATAAGGAAACTGAGTCTTAATCAGATAAAGTAACAGCTAAAACTCAACCCAAATTTTCTGACTTCTGAGCTCTCAATCTTAAAGTATTAATCTATTTACTTATTAATTGGTTTGATATACTTGAAAGTCAAATGGTTAAACATGAACAAAAACAAAAGAAAACAATGAGCTTACATATGACCACAAAGAGCAGGTAAAAAGTAAAAACGAACACCTAAAATAGATAATCAAGGAGTAACAATTATTGTTGTTAGGTGACACCAAGTTAATTTTTTTTTAACTTTTTATTGTAATTTGGGAAAATTTTTACAATGTAAATTAGTTTTCTATTAAACTATTCATGCATATTTAGTTGTGTGACATGGACTACAATCTCTACAAAATAACAGCATGCTTCCACTTCCTCCATATGGTTTCCATTTCCAATCGTCTTTCTTTCCTATCCTTTCTTGTCCTCTGAGCTTTATCCCTGAGCAAAGACTGCCCTTTTGATCTTGTATGTTTGCTTGCTCTAAGGAAAGCATTCTTTCCTAGTATTAATGGTCACCCCGTAAGCCTGGCTACTGTTTGGCTGAAAGCTGAGCCATGTGGGTGAGTTCAGATCCTGATTTAAAGAATGACTAAGGGGCATGTGCCATTCGTCTTGTTACTTTGTTGTACTGTGGTAGATGTGTGTTGCTATCTATGCAACCAATATTTTAAAGACCAGCAGGGTCACCCATGGTGGAGAGCTTTCAGCAGAGTTTCCACACTAAGACAGAATAGGAAGAAGGAGAGGCAGACGACTTTTGAATGGGTAACTTTGGAATACCTTATTAATAGCAACAGAACATTGTCAGATATGGTTCCAGAAGATGGGTCCCTCAGGCTGGAAGTCATTCAAAATACAACTGGGGAAGAGGTGCTTCCATAAAGCAGAGTTGAACTTAATGATGCAAATGGAGCAAAGCTTTTGATCCTTCATTTTCTGATGCACAACTCAAAACGAGAAGAAACAGCTGTAAACATCCATTAATAATTGAAATGTGCTATATACAAAGTACGAATCTAAAAATGGAAGTCATCAAAAATAAAATGGAATGCATAAATATCAATAGCCCAGGTATTAGTGAGCTGAAATTGACTGGTATTGGCCATTTGAATCTGACAATCATATGCTTTACTATGCTGAGAGTGACAAATAGAAGAGGAATGGTGTCAACATTCATTGTCAAAAAGAACAATTCAGAAACTATCTTGAAGTACAATGCTTTCTGATGTAGGGTAATATCAATAGGACTACAAGGAAGACCAATTAATACTAGCATTAAAATTTACCCAACAACCACTAGAGTTGTGAGGATGAAATTAAAGAATTTTACCAATTTCTATAGTCCAAAATTAATCAAACATGCAACCAAGATGCACTGATAATCACTGGTGATTGGAATGCGAAAGTTGAAAACAAAGAGGAAGGATCAATAGTTGGAAAATATGGTATTGGTGATAGAAACTACACTGATGATTGCATGATAAGAATTTTGTTAAGATGAATTATTTACTGTAAATACATTTTTTTTTAACAACATAAAGCCAATTATACATATGTGGACCTCACCAGATGGAATACACAGAAATCAAACTGACTGCATCTATGGGATGATAAAGAAGTTCCATATCATCAGCCAAAACAAGGTCAGGGGCCAGTTATGGAACAGACCAACAACTGCTCATATGTAACATCAAGCTAAAGTGGAAGAATATAAAAACAAGTCCATGGAGACAAAATTGACCTTGAATAATTCCACCTGAATCCAGAGACCATCTAAAGAAGAGATTTAATGCATTAGACACTAATGACTGAAAACCCAAAAAAGTTGTGGGATGATACCAATAATATCACACACAAAGAAAGCAAAAGGTAATTAAAGACTAGCAAAGAAAAAGACCAAAACGGTTGTTAGAAGAGACTCTGAAACTTGCCCTTGAAAATAAAGAAGTTAAAGTGACTGAAAGAAATAATGAAAAGAACTGAACAGAAAAATTTCAAAGGGCAGCTTGAGAAACAAAGTCAAATATTATGAACTGTACAAAGACCTGAAGTACGAAAAGGGAGGAACATGCTCAGCATTTTTCAAGTAGCAAGAACTAAAGAAAAAATTCCAATCTTGGGATGCAATATAGAAGAAATCTAGGAGAAAAACATTGAATGAGATAGAAAGCATCAAAAGGCAATGGAAAGAGAACAAACAAGATAGCAAATTGGGTAGAAGGGTAGTGAGGAGCTCCATCAGCAACAATACAGAATACCAGACCAAGCAGTCTCAAAGGATGCTGTCAGAACTCTGAACCACATATAAAGGACTATTTAAAAGGTTGGAAGGCTTACAGCTAGGGAAATTTATAGCAGAATCAAGAAATAGAGTGCTTTCTAATTCAAGATGCTCAGCTGCTCAGGAGCTGCCATCTTGGGCGAGACCAAGCGAGGAAAGGATCAGAGCAGCCACAGACACCTGACAAAACTGCGGAGATAAAGATTTGGACATTCTTTTTTATTGTATCTGTTCATTGGTCTCTGTCTGAGTACCTCCATTCTGGTGCCTAGAGGGGGTGCTGAAGTTAGTGGACACCCCTCCCCCCAGAGGGTTATACTACGCATGAGCACAGATCTCCTCAAAATTTAAAGTGACAGTTTCCACTTAA